GTTTTTAAAAATCCAATGTGTGGATCACATAATATTTCAAAAATTTTAACTTTTGAGTATAGATGATCCGCACTGTAGCGAATTAAAAAAAACGAATTTCTTTACATTACCAAATATGGTATAGATTAATTGCCTAATTTCGACTAGAATTATTTTACCGATCAACATATTATTATAATCAAATTATTTGTTTTATAACTTTCAGATATTCAAATTCATAATGAATAAAACAAATAATTTGAATAAACATTATTCGAATAGAAACTCTACTGCACATGCATATTAGAATTTAAATATATTATAAAGGAAAATTGTATATTCCAACGTTGCTATCAGCAGAAATGATTTTTTTGTGTATCATTGATACCTAAAAAAGGCAAATGATTATTATACATGCGATCAAAATATCTTACCTGGGGTAGGTGCTACTATTAAAATGATATTAATATATGTCAGCACCCTTACCATTGCCGCAAATAACCAATTACAGCAGGTGTCTTTAGTAGATACATTGAATAGTCATTTAATGATTTGGACAAATAAAAAAGAAAGAAAATAATAAATTTTATTTTATTTATTCCAGTAATAGGACAATCGACTTAACTTATTCTTAAATTTTAAATTTTGAAATATATTTATTTCTTTATTATTTTATTGTTATTTCATTTACTTATTATTGATTGTGCCCAAATTTACAGAATTCTAATGTGTAGATAGATTAATTACCATAAGCAACACTAAAACACTGTTTCATTTTTCATGTGTTCAATATATTTCAAGCAAGTTCGTGCATTATGACCTCTTTGATTACAAACTCCACATCGTTTCTTGTCACTTTCACTTTCCATGATATCATCATTTTTACTACATTGTTTCATTTTTTTGATATTTTGATCCCTATTTAATGAATTAATATCACAAATTTCGTCTAAATAAACCCTCTTCTCTGATTGTTTTTTGGGATTTTGTCGACTCAAGCCTCTATATAATTTATCCATTTCAAGATAAATTTTACTTGTTTGTTGTATACCAGCCTAATTAAAACAACAAAATTAGTTATGTTTTTATCTTGAAGATCTTCAAAAAAAGCATAACTTACCATTAGCCGAATAACCAATTCTGCGCAAGCACTTAAGCTTGCATAACCAACACCAGTTTCTTTACGTGGTAAAGGTTCAGAGTCAACCATAAGAAAAAAAAATAAACCAGCCGTAACTTGTCTAGTGGAATAAATACTGAGATGGAGTCCACTATTGCCATCCAAAGTACCAGAAAGTTGTGCTCCCCAAGTTCGTATAGCCATAAGATAAGTCTCAAATTCACTAAATACGGAAAAAGCTTTTCGATAATATGTTTGCCATAGTACTATCAAATCATCCCTGGTATAACATGCAATTTTTAATTCATCTTTTTTAAATTTTTTAGTATGCTCATTAGCTATATAAGAATTTTCAAATGTGAACACTTCAAATCCACTAATCTCCCCTCCCAAGTCTGTTTTATGTCCTCTATGATTTGATTTATTAAATAAATTTATCCGAAATTTCACAGCCTCAGAAAATCTTTCACCATTAATTAACTTGCATACACGCCGTAATAGTTTTGTTAAGGGAAGTATGTGAATGTCATGTACATCTCCTTCGCATAAGTTTTCATGGTATGGTTCTTGGAACAATGATGAACTATAATGTCATGTGTCAATAAACAAGCATAAATTTGAATATCAAGTAAAATAAACAACATGAATAAATTATACTTACTAATGTATAAGAATATCTTGTAGATAATTCACAATTAAGCTATCAAATACAGATCGATCTGGCCAAATAATATCTGCAAAGTCTGAAAAATATTTTTTACGAGCCCATTGTTCTAATTCATACCAAGATGATAATTTAGTCTAAAATATTATTTCTATTGTTAATTTTGTTAATTTTAAAAATTATCAACCAAGAACTTTAATAAATACCACTATTTCCAGTTCTCCAAGAAATGCTGGTAAAAACGGTGACACTTCTTTAAGTGTAATTATTTGTTCTAATTCTTTATTAATTAACGTTTGATCTATCATTAAAGATTGATCCACCAATGGATTGTCAAGTGCGTTTATATAAATTATACTTTGAATATACAAATTAGAATGTTTATGTGATGGTTGTTTTTCGACTGGGATCGTTTTATTATTCTGATTTAAAAATTTCAGCGCATTCTTGATGGAACCATATATATCATCGTTATTATTTTCTTTTGAGTCTATTACACTAAATAAATAAATAAAAAACAAGTTTATATATAACTAGAGTGATGACGAGTGGCGGGCGATAACCACCACCACCATCCTTAAAACACTTACCCTTTTTCTTCTTCCAAATAATCCTCTCTGCTTCTTTTCGATTGACGTGGCATTTTAAATTTTTAATTTTAGGAAAAAGAAGTTTATTAATTGATCGACGCGTACACATTAATTATTTATCCTATTGGTTTTTTTTTTTTGGTAGGACAGACGCGAATTGAACAATTTATTTTTTGACAGAGTCCAAGGTGACAAAACATGAGTGTTGTTGTTTGGTTTGGGTTGGGTCTCCTAAAGAATACGTGTTAACACCTAACCAGAGGTGCTATTTTTTATTTGTATTGATATGTATGAGGTGTCTTTTATTTTAGTTTATAAATATTTTAATTGGAAATCAAAATGTGGAGCAGACTTGCTGGGTAATTACAAGATTTTCATTGATAATATTTTGCTTTTCGTAATCCATAATAATATTATTATTATATATTATTATAATCACAAAAAGATGTCAAGGCAGCACACCATTTAAAAAGAAACATTTTGATATGCAACGTTTGATTATCAGAAATTGGCAGGCGTTGAAGCACGCATGCTACCTTGAACACTTTACAGTCATTCTCACATATTCCTCGTGTACATAAGGCTAATCTTGACCCAACGACCCGAAGATATGATGATGTAACCGAATTCCAGAAGGCGCATGGATCTGGAGTTTACTGAGACTGCACCAATTGTCAATGACACTTTCACTAATCTTCCCAGATCAGAGATGGTTGCTGGCACGCTAGCCGAAAAGTCACCTGCAACGATTCCACCTCTATGGCAAGGATGGCACTGTGACCAAGATGTTGCAACTCTGGAGGAATATCAAGAGAATCTGCAATTCGTTCCAAGCACAGGAGGTCACAATTCAGAGCAGGGTTGGTGGCCCTGAAATTGCATTTGGGCTCTGATGTTAAAAGGAAAGTTGTAAAATAGTGTTTTTGTATAATCATTTTCCTAAATTCTCTGTTTCTCTGATACTAACCAATTTATGATTTTGGGTAGGGGATTGAATGGGGTTTTTACCCAATCAGCCCCTTGTCCTGTAGGTTAAAATTATCACATGATTATATACATCTTTGTCAGCAATATGGCCAATGAGAAAAAGTCATAAAATGGTTTGGATTTTGGTATGTTATAAATTAATCATTTCCATAAATTTTCTACTTTTCTTTAATTTTTGTTTGACCAACTGAACTTGTTATTTAAATCAACTTTATTCTAGTGAGAGAGGGTGATAACACAAAGCAAGCACCAGCTATCAGTGATTAATGCCCATATGGTAACAGCCAAGTCTGGTCTGAGAGGAAGATAAGGGAAAGTTTTGTCCAAAGCCTTCCAACATGAAGACTTTTTCTTACGATTCTTATTATTATGATACTTGTGTTTTCTTTAAAAGGAAATGATTACCGAAAATTTTTTGTTAATAAAATCGTACACCTTTAATCCTTTGATAAACTTTTTTTTACTAATAATTTTAAAAAAAAACTCTCTGTCAGGCTATTCTTTGAATCACAGAAAAAAACTATGGAAATTTTTTTACTCTAGATTGTTTGGTTATTGAGCCTATACGTTTCAAAGTTTAACAGTATTTTTTAACATTTTGGATGATTTTACTAATAAAATTTAAAAAACTCTCTGTCGCCATGTGGACCATTACATTTGTTATAATATCTCTTAATTTTATAGTTGTATCTTTTTTTTGAATGAGAAGATGCAATTTTTATTTTTATAATTGTTGATGTTAATTAGTTTTGATCTACATGGTCCCATATATACGACATACGTGTGTTGTAAAAAAGTTTTGAGAAAATACAACTTCAAGAAACTTCCACCCTTGAAAACATTGCAAAAGTTGATGATTTAATTAGTTTACATAATGAATTAAAATTTGTAAAAAACGGTCCCACATGTTGATAATTTTTAAAATTCAATATCTCAATAACTAACTGGTAAAAGAAAGTAAACTTTTTTTATTTGAAAGATGAGAAGAATGTTACTTATATAAAAGAATTTCAAATTTATCACACTTAAAATCATCAAGTTATGTACCTTATGACAAAAAATTTCCAGTTGTTTTTTGTTGTTAATCTTTAAAATTTAATATCTCAATAATTAGCAACCAAAAAAATATTTGCCTTTTTTATTTGAAAGATGGGAACTCTGTCTTTGATTTAAAAAAATTTTCAAATAAATTGCAAATTTATAAAGTTACATGCATTTTCTCAAAACTTTTTTGTACAACCCACGTAGTGTTAACAATGGTTTGCATAGAAAATTTTCACAATAGTAATTAATTCGTCACCCATAATTAATTACATAATTACGTATTTAAAGAGTAAAAGTGGTAATTAATTACGTTAATTATGAATTACATATTTACGGTAATTAGCTAATTACCATCTCATGTATATCATTGTCATTATCCAACAAACCACTAATAATTATAACTTTAACTGCCACATTGAATCAATCAGAATCATCTCAAAATGTTTAGTTAAACTACTACACAAGATCCAAATCCAAATCCTAATAGTACACCAAGTGATATTGCTTCTGAGAATGCTAATGCTAATGCTAATAATGATGATAGCAGTTTAACAACTAAAACTATAGTAAGATCTTTCCTATAATTATTATGGTAGATGCTACTATAGGTATATGGGAATATAAAAAATCAAATAACAATTTATTGATAGATGAAGATAAAGTTGTGTTAAGGATAGCCAAGGGTGATCCATTTAAAAATACACTGATCAATATCATGTGGGGGCATGCCACAACAAAACCAGACAGAGTGAACATTCATGTCACAAAGATCGAAATTGTTTAACACTACAATTTTACTACCAATATAAATGAATGCTTTTGTTTCTTCCCACTTATTACTTAACTGATTGATACACAGGATTATCACCATGTAAAGAAAAACATTGTTTAAAACAAATTATAAATGTTACACATTCAAGTCCTGCATTATGTTTGAGCACCATGAGTTCAGGTAAAGAACCTACAAATCTTTCAATAATCATTGTTAAATGCAAATTTTATTCTATTAAAAAAAGTAAATAATAAATAAATATTCATATTTTCATTAACAATTTAATGGTGAATTTTTTTGTGAAGGCTGTTGATTGGGCTCTTGATTTTTTTTGAACTCACAAAAAACCAACTCTATGACATAAATCAAAAATTTGATGAAATAATCAATCAACAATCTCAAATGATGAAGTTCAATATTTAACAGGATGGTTTGGTGGTTAAGGCCCAGAATTTTGTACTTAATTAGTAGTTAGAGAACCTAGTACTAGGGATCAACAGTCTCAAGGTTCATCCTATATGTTTATCCTTGTATTGGCTGGTTTTGTTACATATAAGTTAAGCATTATAATTGTCAGCATCACACACACACATTTATTATTTAAAACTTTTTTTTAATTCACTTCATTACAAACTTTTTTTAATAATTGAGTGGGGGAGATAAAATAATATATATATATATATCTAATATTCAATATAAATGTTTGCTAATATAAATGTTATTGACTTTGAAATTTAATTTCTGTGAGTTAATTTAACCTTCAATTCAACACATCTAGTACCATCAAAAGGTTGCAGGCGCATAGGTTTATCACTTACCATTTCAAATTTATATTTTTTGTATAATAAAGCAACCAATAATTTAATTTGATTCATTGCCAGATGTCTTCCTGGGCATATACGTAATCCACCACCAAAATGTAAAAATGTATTTTTAATAAAGGAATCATCTATTCCACTATTATTGTCATGATTTTTATTTAAGAATCTTGAAGGATCAAATTTAGTTGGCTCATTCCAATAATTTGGATTCATGTGTAAACTTTGAACATTTATTGTTAATCGAGTTGAACCTGGAATTTTGTAATCACCTATTTGATCAAAATTTGCTGACTCACGATCAATTATTGTTCCAAGAGGGTTAATACGTAAAACTAACAATATAGATAAATTTATCATGTGAAATAAATTAAAAATAAAATTTATAAATAACAATAATAAAAACACAATTATAAATTAATACCTTCTTTTATTACAGCTTCAATGTATTCAAATTTTTTTAAATCTTCATAATCTAAATTAGATTTATCTCCAAATACTTTTTTAATTTCTTTAAGAATAATTTGTTCAACTTCAGGGTAACTAGATACATAATATATAAGACATGATAAAACTGCAGATGACTTTTTTCAAGGAAAATTTTGATTATTAGTTTAATTAATTAATTTATCATCATTTAATATATAAATAAATACAAATATACATACAGTAACAATTCCTCCGCCAAATGTTTCATTAAGGACATTATTAATTTCATCATCAGTCATTGGTTCATCATTGAAATCATTTGCAATTCCTTGAGTAATATCTTTTGGAGTATTAATAGTTAATAACATATTCAACATATCAGGTGTCAGGTTTTCTTTATCACTAATATTTTCAATTTTGTCCCTACGTTCATTGACTAAATTGTAAATATATTTTTCTCTTGATAAAAATTTGTTTAATAAATAATTTGAATAAATCTTTATCAATGGCAAATTACGTATATATGAAGGAATTGTTGCATAATATCTCATACAATCTGCTCCAGGTTTTACATTATCAATATATTCATCCTCAGCAGTTTTAATTATATTGAAATCTTTTTTACTGGTTTTATAATAATTCAATAATGTATTAGATGGTCTGTTTGTTGCTAATAACATTATATTTTCAGCAAAAATTCTTTTAATCCAAGGCACAAGATCAATTTCCAATACTTTTTTTTGATGAATTTCTTGATTCATAATAGATTCTCCCATTTCATCAATTAAAGAATCCCAATAAATTTCTAAGTCTTTAAAAACACAATTTACAAGATTAGCTGAAAATTTTAATGCATTTGGAGCCATTATAGCTCTAATGAATATTTTTCTATTATCAGCCCATTTGTTTATGTCTCTATTCAGAACAATTCCCTTGGTGCTTTTTCCTAATTCATCTATTCCTTCATTAGGTGGAAAACGTGACATGTAATTACTATTTCTCACTGGCTTCATGACATGTTCAATGATTTGTAGATTGTTAGTGATCAATTGTCTATCAGATCCATTGTAAATTTCAAACACATCACCATATTTTAAATGTAATGAGTGAAACCATAATGGAAGATTAAAACGATGATAAAAGATTTGATGTAAATTTCCTAATAATGGTAAAGGAAAAGGCCCTTTATAAGGATTTGGACGGGTAAAATAATTGTAATAATATTTTAATGATGAAAAAATTATTGTTATAAATAATATTGTTGCAAATGCTGAAACAATTTCTTTTAATGAAAACATTTTTTAAAATTTTCTAACATCAAAAAAAAATATATATATTCGCGAGTAAATTTATCTTATCACGTGGTCATGAGTAATATAACTATATATATAGATACAGAAATTGTCTATCTTGGGAAAAAACTATATTTCGATGAGAATGGATCGTCGAGATTGGCTATTCTATGTAACTATTGCCTTTGTTAATTGTATATATCAAAAATAAAAACCAGGGAAGTTGTACTTTAAAAATCCGGTTTTTCTGAATTCTTAAAAATCCGGTTGAAATTCTCATTTTAATCATTTTAAGTAATAATAATACTATTGTTATTGTTCTTTTTTTCTTTCACTCATACTCTCACGTGCTCTTTATTTAATTCGCTAGTGCTGATCTATTTGTTATCCAAATGAAACTTTTTGAAAATTTTAATTTGTAACTAACATAAGGGTAGGAGAATCACGTGGTATATTTAATAGTAAACAATGGCTCAAAAAAAAAATAATGTCGATCATCATAATGATAATAACGTAATTCAATATTAATATTACAAAGACTCCTAGTACTATTTTTATTATTATTAAATAAAGGCTCCAGACTTTAACTCTCCATTCTTTTGAGTTTATATACAAATTTCCACAATTCTTGCAAGTGAATGTTAGTGTTAATTTCAATTAATTTTCTGTGGACATAATAAATATTGTTAAACTTAAATTATTGTCTTTAAATGATTTATTAACAGCATTTCCAATTTCCAGATTATTTGTTGATATATTTTATCATAATCTAACTTATTCACAATGTGTATTTCTAACCTTTTTAATTTTTTTTGCATTCTGATTTGCTTGATAATTCAAGTTTGATATCAAAAGAGCTTGAGAACTTTTAAATGATAAAAGATAATCCATTAGGGAGTGTAGATACCACTTTCTCTACTATTCTATGAAAAATAATGCTGAAATTCCATATTATCAACAGTAAGAATATTTATCCTTTTATTATTATAAATATTTGTGTTTGAAGATTATTGTATATATCACTAATTTTTTTACACAATAAAGATAGCTATAATCTTGTCATTATTACAAATAACAAAAACATCATGCCAATGATGATGTTGTGTTGATGAAGAAAATGTTAATAATAATAATGCTGAACAAAAACACAGTAATAAAATTTTAACTTTTAATTTTGAAATTTGTTTTACAAATTATTTATTTTATTAATAAAATTTATATATGGTAAATAGTTTTTAAAAAAAGAAAGATGTTGTTAAACCTAGTATAAAGACTAGATCTAAATCAAAAAAAAATAAGTGTAAGAAATTTTTTGATACTAAGTCATCATAATTATAGTTGCAGACAGTTTCAAGGATTGCAGAAAATGTGAAAACAGTTACAGACACCAACTTTATATGTGGCCAACTTTGCCACACAGTGATGTAACAACATCAATGTACATGACCTCAAATGAGAGAAAGGGTACCAGCACAACATACAATGCAACCTACTAGGATCATATTCATACCTACCTAGTAGACACATACTTTAGTTCTAGTATATTCATAGTCTAGCCAAGTAGTTACAGAATATATAAGATTATGTAATTATTAACTACATATGATTCAGTTTCTAGAAGAGGCTCCATATATCTTAAACTTTTAATTTACTAAAACCTCAAAATTTTTAGGATGCCAGAATATTTTAAAATTGATAACTGTAATATTAATTTAGATCAAATTAAAAAATACAAAATAAATAAATAATTGAAGTGTTTTTAATTAAATAATAGACAAGATGTAAACAAAATTTTTATTTCCAATCTAATTACTGATTTTTTTTAGGAATTGCAACATTTTCCAAAATTTTCATTACACCAACAGTTTTAACAAACTTTAATTCTTCTTCATTCCTTACAAGTAGCATTCCAGCAAATCCAAGAGAATTTATTGAAACATATTCATATTTTTCAGAACGCCTAGGCACCATCATCATCCATGTATGTGTCATAATAAAATTATATGAAATATGAAAATAATCATTTTTAATAACATTTTTATGATTGGTATTAAAATCTTTGAGCATTCTATTGAGTAACGAATGAAAATTTTGTGAGAGATATTGACCAACTTCTTCATAATTTCCATGTTGATGTTGATGGTGTCTTTCACTAATTTGTTTTGGATCTAATAAAACTACATAATGAATGTAGGGTAAATCTTCAAATTCAAAGATTTCACCTTTTATATATATATAAAATTTTAGTAATTGTTTTTTTTTAATTTTAAAAAATATACATAATAGAATATTTTAAAATGATACTTTACCCGGTTTTCTGTTTTGGGCTCTATATATATATGAGCTGATTGGTGGAGTAAATCTGGCTTCACTTGGTAAAGGAATAACTTGAATATGTTTATGTGGTTGACTGCATTAATTTGATAAATTAGATAAATCTTAAAATTATTTTTTAAATTTTAAACAAATATAAGAAACTATAAATGTACCTTGCTCCTGACAATTCGCCACAATTGAAAAAGACAAGAGTTGGTTGACTTTTATTATGCATTATACAAAACCATATGGAAGCCATATCTTCAGGATTAAGAGGATTGGTTTGTTTTTCAAATTCTTTATTTCATAAAAATAAAAAATATCATCAAATAAATGTAATTTTAAACAATAAATAAGTGTACATAACTTATAAAACAGATACCTTTAGTGGCTATCACAAGATGATAAGGAACTATGCAATATTTGTTTAATAAAATCACATGTTTGCCATACTCTTGTACAAACAAGTCTTCGCTGTAAGGAGAAAAAGGATCCACCTTTGGTTTTTGTTCATTGTTTTTTTTATCGGTTGTACCAATAGGTTTGTTGGCTAAACTAGGAGCAAGTCTTATTTCAAACTGTAAAGGTTATGAAAACATTTACTTTTTACAATGATGCATATATAGTATGTTTTTATTTTAATAATTCACCTCTATGTCTATCTCAACAATTTTTACTACCCTGCTTTCCATGAAATAGACTTCACCACGTTTAAGAGCACGCTCATAGGTATCAATGATTCGATTTTCAAAATGTGTTTGCATATTTAAGGGCAGTGAACTATAGACAGGTGATTTTCACTATAATTTGCGTTGCACGATTATTGGCCGGCCATTTAATATTAAATTATTCCTAGCTTCAATATAAAACTTGTGGTATTTTTATATAATTTTTATTTCATCAATTTTCATGTGACTTCTAACTTTGTCATATGATACAAACAGGGATGATGATTTTATTGCAGAAAATAAAAAAAAAATATATGAATAAAATTATGACAATTTAATAAAAACCATATTAATTAAAAATTAAATTATTAATTCTCAAGAATTGATTTTTCTAATAAATTGTCTCTGATATTATCAATTAAATTTTTTTTTGCTGTAATCAACATTGCACATTCCATATAAATCTAAAATTTTCTAATTTTGGTAAAAACCTAAATTTATTTTGTCACATTTTATATCCAATAAAATCAACTTCCACCATGCTGCGCCGCTATTGTTGTCATCTTCTACCTGTCTTGAACAGTGTTGAGAATTTCCAGTTCCAGTGGGAAAATCACTGGAATTGAACATTGGAACCATTGGAACCATTGGAACCAATGAAAAATCTGTGTAAATTTTATTTTAATATCTGTAATAATGAAATAAATATGGGTAATGTCGCTGCCACTATATAATTTGGGTCAGACTTATGACAGATGTCAATTTTTCACAAAATTATATTTTGACCATTTTTTAGATGTTCATCTTGTTTGTGGCTTTGCTTACATTAATTATAATGCAAAAATTTTTTTTTAAAAAAATGAGTAGTAGACACAGGTAGAAAACCTTTGCATGATTGCAAAATATGTTGTAACAAAAAAGAGAGATAATGGTTAATAAAAGTAATTATTTAGCTATCTGCAAAGCCTGCATACAATAAAAGGATGGGAATGGTCTTTACATACCGTAAAGTCTGGAAAGATAGCACCCCCTACTTTAAAACAATAAAGCGTTAATATAAAAAAAATGTTACACATATGTAAAAAGGGGATGCTATCTTTCCAGACTTTATGGTAATGCTACACAATTAAAATTTTCTAATACTGTTCCATCTATTGGTAATACCTAATTAATTGTGAAAACTTTGCAACCATTAATCCAGATAAATTGGAATCAGTAAATTCACATTTAGAAGTGATGAAACAAAAAAAACTGAATCAAGATTAAATAATAGTATAGAAGTTGAAGTTGATGCTGATGTTGATTGCATGTATTTTATATTATCATTGGATTAATTGCAATATTTTATTTGTTAGTTTATGATCTTACAACAGAATTGGATGATAATTATGATAATTTATCTATTACACCCTCCTCATCTGAAAGTTCTAATTCATTTAATATTTCATATATAAATCCAAATAAATGATGATATATATAATGAAACATCAGTTTATCATCAAACAAGTTATTGGTTCAAGGTACTGGATGATGATACTTTTAATGACACTAGTGATGAAAGTGAATTTGGATGATGATTCAGAAGAATTAAAAATTTTGTTAAAATATAGGGTATATCCAGCTGATAATAAAGAGGTCAAATGGAAATTAGCAAGATTATTTAAATCCAAATGAGTTCATATCATTATTTTCAGAAAAAAATCATTAAAA